AAGGAAAGGAAAGGAAAGGAAAGGAAAGGAAAGGAAAGGAAAGGAAAGGAAAGGAAAGGAAAGAGAAGGAAAGAGAAGGAAAGAGAAGAAAGGAAGGAAGGGAAGGGAAGGGAGGGAAGGGGAGGGGAGGGGAGGGGAGGGGAGGGGGGAGGGGAGGGGAGGGGAGGGAGGGAGGGGAGGGAGGGGAGGGGGAGGGGAGGGGAGGGGAGGGAGGGAGGGGAGGGGAGGGAGGGGAGGGGATGGAGGGGAGGGGAGGGGGGAGGGGAGGGGAGGGAGGGGAGGGGAGGGGAGGGAGGGGAGGGAGGGGGGAGGGGAGGGGAGGGGAGGGGAGGGAGGGGAGGGGAGGGGGAGGGGAGGGGAGGGGGGAGGGGGAGGGAGGGAGGGGAGGGGAGGGGAGGGAGGGGAGGGGAGGGGGGAGGGGAGGGAAGGGGAGGGGAGGGGAGGGGAGGGGAGGGAGGGGAGGGGAGGGGGGAGGGGGAGGGGAGGGGGGAGGGGAGGGGAGGGGAGGGAAGGGGGGGGGAGGGGGGGAGGGGGGGAGGGGAGGGGAGGGGGAGGGAGGGGAGGGGAGGGGAGGGAGGGGAGGGAGGGAGGGGAGGGGAGGGGGGAGGGGAGGGAAGGGGAGGGGAGGGGAAGGGGAGGGGGGAGGGGAGGGGAGGGAAGGGACACTCGGGGCCCAGCTAAGCAAGGCCTGCTGCTCTCGCCCCTGCCAGGAGGGGCAGCACTCAGGGACGTGGCCTCCCCTCTGGTCTGGAGGGACCCAGCTCCTCACTCAGGTTTCAGAGCTCAGACAGCTGTGAGCAGAGACCGGCGTTGTCCCGTGTTCTGCTCGGAAAGGATGGAGGAGAAGCGGCGTCCGGTGCTGGGGCCTCCAGCCGCCCTGGGGAGGGGCCCTGGCCTCAGTAAAAGGGGGGCTGAGCCGTCCCTCCCTGGGCTGCAGGGAAGTCTAGAAACTGCGTGTGAGGTGTTTGGGCCATAACACGCGCAGTCAGTCAGTGTCATTGCCGTTGTCACGGCAGCGCTGGGGCCTGGCCGTCTGGCCGTCCGCTCCCCGGAGCGTCTGCTCTCGTATAAGAAAGAGAACGAGTACTGTACCGCCCGCCCCCCCCCGCCCGCCCCAGCCTACTGCGGGGTTCCCGCGTGCGGGTATGTGGGGGGGCGGGGCGGTTCAGAGGGACATTTGCCTCTAACCCCCTCTCCCACCCCAGTGCCTCTGCTAATGAGGGGAGATCCCGCCACAGACCGGGTGCGAAGGGATTCACAGAAAACAGCCCGGCCCGGCGAGCACCCCGAACACTTCCTAAGGACTTTCTGGGGGGCTGGGGGGGGGGGGGGTGTGAAACGCCGCTCCCTCTGGAGGACCGGCAGCCGCTCCTGGGCGTGTCCGGGCCTGTGGGTGTGTCTCCTCTCTCCGCAGGGACCCCGATGTGTCACTGTCCAAAATAGAACTCAAAAGTAGGTCAAAGAGTGAGCCACGGAACAGGTCACTGCCGAGAAGCGAAAACCGCAGCCGAGGCGGCTCGGCTCTGGGGGACGCCAGCTGAGACCTCTGTGTCCGTCCGGCTCAGGCCTAAGGCCACGGCGGGAGGACGGGGGGCTGACAGGAGTCACCCTGCTTCCCGTGGCGGGCGGTGTGCGCTCCTGACTCCAGAAGGCCCCCAGGACGGAGTCTGAGGTCCAGGAAGCACAGCCCGGGCCTGGGCCCACACTCCGGGTGGGGACGAGAGAGCAGCGACTGGCCCGTGTCCATGCCTCGGGGCCGAGGGGGCCCAGCTTTTGTGTCTGTGTGTGTGTTTTTAATATAGTTTATTGATGTCAGAGAGGAAGGGAGAGGGAAAGGGAGACAGAAGCATCCATGAGGAGAGCGAGTCATGGAGCAGCTGCCTCCTGCAGGCCCCACAGCGGGGATGGAGCCCACAGCCCGGGCCTGTGCCCCGGCCGGGCATGGAGGGTGTCCTCCTGGTGCACAGGTTGGTGCTCCACCAACGAGCCACACAGACAGAGCCCCGCCTGTGGATCATGCACCCTGTAGCCCCAAGCAGCGCACTTGGACGTGAATCAGTGTGACATCACCTGTCCCTGAGGGACGCTGCGGCTCCTGGCCGCCGGAAAGGAGCCTGGGAGGGCCGGGCTGATGGCTCCTCCCCAGCGGCTCCCGCCTCCTCGCCTCTGGGGGCCGGGTTCCCACGGGGTGCACGAGGCTGTCTGCACCCCCTTATAGCCCCCCCGCCCCCCGCAATGAGACAGCGTTGCCTGGGGGAGAGGATCTGTGTTTCCCAGGACCAGAGCTCACAGCGTTTCCTGGCGGCTACCAGGGGGCAGGGGCTCCCGAATGGGCGGGATTATCTGTTTTGAAAAACCATCACATTAGGTTTGGGGGCCTCGGCTGTTCCGTGCGGCGCCCCAAGTTTCTGGTTTCAGACGGCTCTGACTGACGCTCCGGTTTGCTTCCTCCAGGGCTGGTCGCTCTCCGTAGCCGGCCTCCCGCCCACCGTGGGGGAGCACCGCACAGCGCAGTCGGGACGGTGTGGAGCTTTAAAAG